CCTAGGAAGAGACCCTTGTATTTGAAGGTTATCTGAACCTTTTGAAGGTCCTTACTAAATAAGGTCCTTGAGTGTCAGTGTTGTTTCTGCTCCTGCTGCTTACCTACAGCCCAGGGTATCCAGTGCAGATCACTTGCTGTGGTGCTCAGCCCTGTCTTGCTGGTGTTATGTGACTGGGCACGGTGTTCCAGCATGGACTAAAGCATAGACATGGACTGGGGAATAAAGAATGGGATAGTGACTGAATTGAGTGGAAAGGGTGTAGTTATGTTAGGAGGCGGCAGTTAGCAGCTATGAAAGAAACAGGTCCAAACTTAAAATTAACAGCACTGATGAAATTTACCCTACTTGCCTGGATTTTTTTTTTCTCTCTACTTCAGGTGCTCGTACTCTGCAGATTCCCCGAGCCAAACTACCAGATGATGGTGAATATACTTGTATTGCCAGAAACCAAGCTGGGGAAAGTCAGAAGAAGAGTTTCCTAACTGTCCTTGGTTTGTTTTTCACTATTTTCTGAAATAATATCTATTGCTTTGAAAATGTAGTATTTTGTATTTCCTTTTATTGGGTTTTTTTCTGCCCTATCACAAAACAAAGGCAGAAATAATTATGAGCTTCTTCTACAGTGCCCCCAAGCATCAAAGACCATAGCGGAACTTCACTGACAGTGCTGAACGTGCGAGTGGGCACCCTGGTGATGTTAGAGTGTGAATCCAATGCTATTCCACCACCAGTCATCACCTGGTACAAGAACAGGCACATCATTTCAGAGTCTGCAAATGTGGAGATCTTAGCAGAGGGGCAAACGTTACGGATCAAGGGTGCAGAGGTAGGCCAGGCTTGTGGGATGCTGCATCTGCCACTACTCTGCTACTCTTAAGCAATTATTTTGCTCCTCTAGCTGTACATAGGAGATATATTTGCTGGAGGCCTTTCATGCTGTGAAAAGGACCTTGAGTTGGCAGTTAAAGGCTGTTAATATCTCTGAACTGTAGCATTAAAATAAGACTCCATAATAAGGTTTTTAAAATTTATTTTTATTTTAGGTTTCTGACACAGGCCAATATGTGTGCAAAGCCATAAATATTGCAGGGCGAGATGATAAAAATTTCGATCTTAATGTTTACGGTGAGTATACTCTGCATGATCTGCAGTGGTTATTATAATACCTGTGACATTGTAGACAATTCAAAATCAGTTTACAAAAGTACCAAACCATTCTTATTGCTTCCGTTCAATTTATAGTGCCACCAAATATAGAAGGCCCTGAACAAGAGCTGATCAATGAAACTATCAGTAATCCTGTTACTTTTGTGTGTGATGCTACTGGAATTCCTCCACCAACATTAGTGTGGCTTAAGAATGGAAAACCAATAGGTAATGTTCTCTCATGCCCTTTTCTGCTCTTTCCCCCCGGCTTTGGGGCACTGTTGTGCTATTTGCTCTCTTTTTTGTTTCTTCTTCATCTATCTCTAGACAGATTCCTATGTTAACTGTTTGGAATCTTTGTTTTGTTTTGTTTTGAAAAAATTTCTCAAGATGCGTTTGCTCTCTGTGGCCAGGTTTGGAATGACTACTTGTTTACATATTTTCAGAAAACTCCGATTCTCTTGAAGTTCATATTTTATCTGGTGGAAGCAAGCTTCAGATCGTTCGCTCTCAGCTTCCAGATAGTGGGACCTACACATGTATTGCGTCAAATATAGAGGGAAAAGCTCAGAAAAGTTATGTGCTCTCTATCCAAGGTAAGGCATGTGAGTGCAATGAACAGAACTAGTCAATAATTAGTTGAGCAAGATGCTGTGTCTGTGCTAGAGGCACTGAAATAACATACATTTGTAGAAAAGTAGAACAATTGGACCGTTATTTCCATCATCTGCAACCAGTGGGGACAAATGTTTAGAGGATTACTGTTAGTCAGAAATTTGCATGAAAAAGAATATTCTCAGCCTCTGATCATAGGAGAACTTGAAAGCAACTGGGAAGGCTGTGTGGGTTTGCTGCTGTCATGTCCTTCCTCTTGCTGAACACTTAAGCTGCGTTGGTTGGTTGAGTGTGGGGCATCACACATACATGGTTTCAGAAGCAGTGGTACCTGTTGCCTTTTTTGCCATGGCAAATAGAAGGAGAGAGCAAAGAAATACTGGTACAATTTCCTTATGAAATTTCTGCCCCCCTGTTCAAATAAGAAACCCCAATTTTTATGGAATAATCTCCTGCTTCCCTGCACATCACCCGTACGCTGCAGCTATCTTTGTTTTCCTCTGTTCCTAATGACTCACACCCATTGTCCAATAAGGTGCCTATGGTGCAGCGTCTCCAGCTTCTGCCGCGGTACCTCCTCGTGCTGGCGTTTGCTGTTGACGGAGATGCAGCATCAGGTGTGACACAGCTGTGCTGGCACACCCCTGCAGGATAGCTGGCCACCAGCAGCCCAAACAGAACTAGCAACTGCTCATCATAGCAGTCATTCTTCCGGGGTGCTGGTTTTTGTGTGCGTCCCTGCCTGCTTGGCCGTTTCCCCCAAGTTCAGGAATTGAGTTATCAAGCTGCTTGTTTGATCAAATGTGACTGGAACTGCTTGAAATGCTCCAAACTTACTGGTGAGACTGGCAGCCTTGACTTGATGGATAGCATGAGCGTCATCCTTGTTCTTTAGGAGAGCAGGCCAGAAATGGGTGCTGGCTAGGACGGAGTACGTATGTGTCTGTTAACAGGAGTGTGACGGTCTCGATGCAGCAGAGCATTTGACTGTGCACTAAGCACATGCTCAGGAGTTAAACAGGCATTAATTGTTACAGAGCATTGTGGTGGTTAATGAAATGGGATTTTGTCTTAATATTATTGTACATGTTAGCATTGTTTGAGCAGATAACTGTAGATACTGAATATAATGTCAAAGATACATTTTTTTATGATTTTGTAAATTAGTTTTTTTAAGGCATGATTAAAGTGGCTTTGAATTTATCTTTGCAGAACCCCCTCTAGAAAAAATGTAATAATATACTTTCTAAACTAGATTTGAATGGAGGTACTGCAATAAATGCTAGTACTCAGGAGCTACTGCAGTATAACTTTTTATAATTTAGGTTATGTTTCTTGCTGATGGATCTTCTCTTCCCTCCATCATGCATTTCCAGTTCCTCCTAATATTGTTGGCTCTGAAATGCCTAGTGAGGTCAGCGTCCTCCTGGGAGAAAGCATCCAGCTTGTCTGCAATGCCAATGGAGTGCCCACGCCTGCTATGCAGTGGCTTAAAGATGGAAAAACAGTTGCCAGTGACGATTTACAAAGAATAAGGCAAGCAAAAATAAGCAGACACTGCATTCTCTTTGTGTGTAATTCAGAACCTCAGAGGGCCCTAAACAGGGAGCATAAAAGAGGCCCCTGAGGAGGAGGGAGTGTCAAGACAGCCTGAGACTTAGCTTAGCCAGGTCCCCTTTAGCTTCTATAAATCTAGTCTACTTTGTTCCTACTTTGATTTCTTCTTCTTTTTTTTTTTCTTTTTTTTTTTTTTTTTTTTTTTTTTTTTTAAGAGAAGAAGATAGAGTAATTTTTTTTTTTTTTTTTTTTTTTTTTTTTTTTTTTTTTTTTTGTACAGAGATAAGTATGTGATATCTTCTTCTTTCTCGGTTAATAAATTCCATTAAAGTTTGTTGAGGTCAGTAAGTTCCATTAAGTTCCTTTGGAGGAGAAAGATCTGAGATACGGAAACATTTTACTTTTGATGCTTTTCATTATGGGTCTTCAAAAGCCTGGTTGGAACTGAATCCTAATACAGGGTGGAACTATAGGAAAAGCTTCCTAGCCTATCTCAATAATATTTTGCAAGAACTGATAGTTCTCTTGCTGAATTCCCAAGAGGATAAAGGTAGCTGATTTAAATGTACAAAACCAACTGTTTATTTGCCAGGTCATAGGAATACACAAGCAAACTCACTGTGTTTTATAACCTTCCTTGTAGAGTAACTCCAGATGGCAGCACATTAAACATTTTCAGAGCTCTCAGTTCTGATACAGGAAAATACACTTGTGTGGCTACTAACCCTGCAGGAGAGGAGGACCGAATTTTCAACTTGAATGTATATGGTGAGTTTTCACAGATGTGAAACTGAAATCTGGTCCATAATCCTATCTTTGTAAGCACTCCCAAGAGAGGGCCAAGAAACGAATGCCTGTCTTCAGTGTAATACTACATGCATGTGTTTCCAATTTCATGTACTGTAGATATCACAGTGTATTACACAGGATGTTCTGTCAGTGACAAAATGATTGAAATCACTGTTAAATGTGGTTTGGGATGAACAGAAATTAATTCCTTTGGTGTATTTCATAATAGAGGAATTCTGCTTGCGGTGATTTTTTTTTTTTTGTAGAGAAAGATACACTTGGGGCTGATTTACTATGATACTGCTTTTTTGTTGTATGAGTTTGTCTTCACTAATTCCAATCAAAGTACGTCAGCTAAATTAGAGCTATGGTAGGGAGCTAATAATTAAAAGTCTCTAGACTTTAAAAGAAAAATGGTAAGAGTACTGGATTAAATTCTTCTCTTGCACAATTCGACATACAGAAGGTAGCATAACTCTTCTTTAGTGGTGTAGCGAGTGAACATTTTAATTTGTGAAAAATGTTTTCATGAAGTACAGTGATGAGTGTGAGGGAGTGAAGAGTTCTGCATAGGCAGCGTTTCACGGTGGTGTGTCTGTCCCGCTTACACAGAGACTCAGAATTAATTGGAATATGAGCATGAGCAGAGTAGCAAGAGATGACCTTTGATATAATAAACAACAATATTGAATGACCACATCAGATCTTTTTTGGGACAGAATGAATGGCACTACACAACAGTGGAGACTTTTTTTTTATCAGTTTGTATTGGTTGAGGTTCAATCAATAACCAACTTAAATGGTTTTATCTTTGCAACTGTCATGGTGCATGACGGGATCTTAAGTGAGCGAGAGCTTGGAGCTGCATGTGGCTGGGCCTTCTTTATATAGTGAGTCCCCTCGTGCCCCCAAGGCCAAAGCTTTCAATCATAAAACCAAAAAGCACTTCTGTTAGAATAATCAGCCAATATACTTAACTAGACATTTTAAAATTTGCTATATTTAAAAATGAAGTCAGCATATACATCTATTGCCCTGTGTGACTCTAGCTTTCACTTTATTTATAATTTATTTCAGTATGTCAGTTTGAGTGGCACCAAA